TTCAGTATAAACACCTACTTTCTAATGACTTGATTAGTTAATTGTGTTTATACTACGACTGGCATGCACCTCCCTCTTGAGAGAAAGCACACTGTGCTAATCAAACACGGTCGTTGATCGGCGAATATGCTGTGAAGCGTGATAATTGAGAGTCAATCAGTTGGGAAATTCCAACGTGTTCACTATATGATAAAAGATTTACAAAAAATAAAAGACTCAGTAACGTAACAATGTCTAACGTGATAATCAAGTTTCTCTGGCCAGTAAGAATTTTATTTCTCAAATTTTTTTGTTCCTTTGTTTTTAATCAGTTGCTTGCTTTGTTTTTAATATTAATCTTATCTTTTTCATAAAATGTACATGAACACCGAACCCTCGAACTTTTAGAGTTACCTCCCGCTTTAATGATAAGTCGCGTGGCTCTAATTGTAGCACGAGAGCACGTAGAGAAGTAAACAATGGAGAAAAATTGGTGAGAAATGCACTGTAGGGAAAAAACGTTAAAGTTATGCCCCTTTTATATTGATTTTGGATATTTATACCATTTGTAGCGTCAGCAAGTTTTCAAAGACCATGCAGTTAACTACACCTTCATCAGTTTGAGTCTTATTTAAATGAACTTGTCATACAGCAGGCAACATATTAGGCCAAAAAATATATCCCTGTTTCCTGCCCCCCCCCCCCAAAGGTAGGGAAAAAAATTATTTTACAAAAAACATTTATTTTCGAAATTGATGAATGCACATGTTATAAAAAGAAAGCCATATATTCTCAGTGTACAAAGCAAGCTTGTTAAAGCTGAACACAATTCCTAAAAGGAATTTGTTTGCCATATTCGATTATTCACTGGCTATGACTTGGTCACTGTTCAGTGTAATCAGTTGTCACCAGTCTTTGAATGTCTTTGAGATAATAAACATTTACTTTATATATTTTATTATTATTTAATTAATACTGTAATATTTATTCTATATACAAGTACATGTAATTAAAAGATAAATTCATAAATCCTGTGTTTATTTCATTTCAAGTTCAAAAGATTGAATAACAATACTACTAACCAATTGACACGACAATTATTGAAGCAAAAAATAAAAATATGCATTTACATTCATTTTTTTCAATCAAGACATTAGTAAGGATATGTTTTAAAGAAATGTAATAGGTATGAATCTAACTGTCACATGTCCAAGAAATATTATAGTTTGGAGGTATGGGTTTTTTTTTTCTACTTGGATTGTGTTAATGTTTGTGTTTAATTATTAGGTAAACAAATTAAAATACTTTTCTAGGGAAAGAGGGGGAGTGGTCACATAACATTTACGAACATACGTACATTGTTTTAATTACGTGATTACATAGATGTAACATACTTTTTATACTAACGGACATTAACAGAGTAACTATATGATATAATAAATTTATTATAAAGCTAATAAATAGTCTATGATAAAAAAAACTACTAAAAGTCTAGAAAATTTTAGCGTCCAATATCATGGCGTTTTATTGAACGCTGAGCTTGTATTACGTACATGAGTATGCCCGAAACATTCCGAATACGAGAGTTCAATATCGAACGCCCTTTTGTTAACAAAAAATGTCGTCTTGTCAACCTCTCTATGGTTAATTTACGATAGGTAGTGGTAGCTAGGTAAGATGTATTTATTTTCACGCAAAATTTAAATTATTAATTAATAATTTAGTACGTATTAGCCTCAACAAAACCCCAATAAGCATATTGATTGCCCCCATGACAAAAGGTCCTTATGGCTTTCTATTCAGAACAGAGAAAACACGTCACAAAGATATGACGTTATTAATATTGTCTGATCAAAAGCGTATGCGCGTTTTTTTTTTTTTGTTTTTGTTTTTGTTTTCATTTATCATAATAAAAAGCATTTGTGTTAATAGAATAAAGTGCATTCACGTTCTGAAAAACATTTAATATTTTATTTCTGTTCTTTTTTTTTTTTTTTTTTTTTTTAATCTTTGTTGAATCCGAATATTTATAATCCGCTCCGGTTTCTTTGGAAAAATGAACGGACGACAACTCTTACATTGACAACAACTTCATAGACTTAAGAAGAATGAACAACACCGTAGGCCTAAATGTTTCAACAATTCATTTCCTGTAATGGATGAGTTTGGGGTATTGACGTGTTTCTTTTAGTATAAAGTAGAATTGTTGCTTGATATAAAGTTATTAATGATATAAAGACCTTAACCTGTTGATCCGCCCGTTTGCATCTGTTTACATCTGTTTACGTACGGAGTCATTGGCAACACTAGGGCTTTATACATAATCAATCTTACGAAATTGGTTGTGAAAACTATTTTAACTAGTTTTACAATTCTGAATCAAAGAGTTCACACTTTTGCATGAAATACACAATAAAATAAATATTTTCTTATTCTATAACGGCATAAATTTAATCAATTCGTTGGGAAACAGAGAGATAATCCATCTATATAGAAAAAAAAGAGGCCTCACAAAGGGAAATAATTTTAGCTACTAAAATGTAATAAGAAACCTGACGTAAATTCCAAACTATATATCACTTCAGTAAGAAACAATGTAATTTAAAATATACACGAGAATTATAGTCTGTCCCACCAAGCTACTGTCACCACTTTTTGCAACATATCTCAAAATATATAAATACCTTGGCCTTCAACCTAGGTCCGAGAGATAGATCATTTTTTTTCCAAACTCCCTGCATTTATCCGAACCCCTGAGTTCAACCGCTGTATTGACACGGCGGCAAATTCAAAGTCTACGGGGATTTAACATGGTAAACTCGTCCATTAGCGTCAAGATCACGGGGCAGGAAACCAGTTTATCGAGGGAGTAGTCGTTCTTTCCAAATTAAAATTACAAAAAATCCTAAAAATTCAACGAAAGCAATTCAGTGTGTTTTGGTAAAAAATATAAGTATCGTTTTGCATTCAAATATATTTGACGAGTTTTCTAATAAACTGAGAGAAAATAATCCGAATTCAATGCAGTACAAGTTGTGGATAACGCACTGCTCTAGAAAGGGGATGTTGACATGATGTGTAATTTACAGCTTCCTTCGATGAAAACGTAAGTTGTTTTTTTTTTTACTTCTGAAAGTACACCCACAAAAGAAGTGTTTTCAAGTGCTAATGATTTGTCAAAATCAAGCATTATTCGGCGAAAGCGCCCAATGCATATCTGCACAGTAGGCCTAGTGGGGGAAAACGAAAACTTTCAGTAGATCTATAATGGTAATGACTTTTTTTGTAAGAAGCTTAAGATTTTTAATATTTTATATGATAGGTCTACTTTTCTTTCAGTCACAGGGAACATATCTAAAACGCAACAGTTGGTCCACAGAATTCATTGTAAACAATCCTTTCACCTGATGAATAAAATGTCAAATTTCCCCCTTTTAGTTACAGAAAATTTTCGATTAAATATACATTAAGTTGAGGATAAAGTAAGCATGCTGCATTTTATTATAAAATAAATGAACTTAGATTAGCTCTCAGAATGCAAATTATTACGTTAATCCTAAACTTTCCAGGGGAGGGGGCATGCCCCAAATACTCCCATTTTGAAATATTCACACTTCCAGTACTAACTTTGCAGTTACATTTCATCCCAGGCCCTTCATGTGAAAGGCAGTGTGATTTTTTTTTGGTTGTTCCTCAGTCCCCCCTCTTTTTCACTAACAATTTTTTGTTAAGTTGGAATTCATAATATGGTAATGCTGCAAGTTTCCCTGGTATACAACCCTTGAGATTTCTTTTTTTTTCTTTCACCAGTATTGTAAAAAAAAATCTTTATTATTTTTTTTTTTTGGGGGGGGGGGGTATTTCTTTAAAGTTCATAATTTGAAATTCATTGACTTACATCTACCCCATAGTTAACCCATTTTGTTCAAACAATAAAGAAAGAGAGCATACAGGACAATCCCCTGCTGTGAGATATATTACAATTTTCAAAGTTCAAGGAAGAGTTACATTTATAAAAAAAAAAAGTTGTTAGTAATGTCAATGGCAAACTTAAATTTTCACTACCTCATGATGCTTCCATATCAATATTACTAATCATGGCTTTGCTGTTCTTTAACAGAAGAATTTTAAAGACCCCCCCCCCATGTATTCCTATGTAAAACGCTCATCGCTCATTGTGGCCCAGGGTTAGAAACTCCCTAAAATTACAACTCGCAAATAATTGCGAGTACCAACAAAGTGAACTCGCAATTTTATAAGACTACTCGCAATTTTCATATAAAGTTAAATTTATATAAATTAAATACATGTAACTTAAGGAAAAAGTAACTACTGTACAATACACAAAATACAACTACAGTGTGACTTTTATTTAAATCACTGATTTAAATCAAAAGTATTGTGTTCTGTCATATTATATAATTTTGCTACAGTTTCAATGCAAAAAAAAAAAAAATCATCTCGCAAGTTTTTGTGAGTTACCTAATTTTCAACTCGCAATTTGGGAATTCTAACTCGTGTTTTGCGAGTTGTATATAGTGAATTTCGAACCCTGGTGGCCCCACCCTACCCATCCTAAAATTGAACAAATTTGAATCTACACTACCTGAGGATGCTTCTATAATAACATGACTAATCATGGCTTTGCTGTTCTTGAACAGAAGATTTTTTTCAAGATGATTCCTATATATTCTTATGTGAAACTTTGACCCTCTGTTGTGTCCCCACCCCCCTAATTTGAACAAACTTGAATCTACACTACCTGAGGATAACTTGATTCTACATTACCCAAGGTTGCTTCTGAATTAATATGACTAATAGTGGCAAAGCTGTTCTCGAGAAGAAGATTTTTAAAGACATTTCCCATATATTCCTACATAAAACTTCACCCCCCTCTTGTGCCCTACCCCCCCCCCCCCCACCCCGGGGTTATGATATGAATAAACTTGATTGTACATGTAATGTAATTTGTAATGAAGCTTTTACATAATTTTCATCTTTTCTTGCCTAGCTAGTGGTTCTTGAGAAGATTTTTAAAGATGCCACTAAATTTTCATGAACTCTTCATTATCTCTCCTTGAAAGAAGGCATGGCACTTCCTGTGAACAAACTTAAATCCCCTTCACCCAAGGATGCTTTGTCACATTTGCAGGTTTGTTTTAAATTGGCCCAGCGGTTCTTGAGAAGAAGTCGAAAAAGTTTATAGATGGCAGACGCCGGACACCCTTTGATCAGAAAAGCTCACTTGAGCCTTCGGCTCTTTTTTTTCTTTCCACATACCTTCATAATTGAAAATAAAAAATACTAATCAATAAGTCATTCAATTAAATAAAAGAAGCAAATGTGTAAAAGATGATATTGACAATACAATTTTTGTGAAATATAACATCATGAACTTAAGAATTAAGAAATGTCTTTTCTCAGAGTGGGGGATTATCTTCGCCTTGTACGCATCCATTCTTTATGTCCAAAAGAAAAATTTAGCAAAACATTCATTTGTAAAATTAAAGTTATGTACAGTATTCTAGCATACATGTTCTAAATAAAAGGCCAGAAAACTGATATCATGCATATTGTATACAGTGTATGAGCACATTGTAATAAAGAAGTAAAGTATACTTGATTATGCCTTTATATTTATTTATACATAATTTTTTTTTTTTTGAAGGTTAAAAAAATTGGAGTACATTGTTATGATGACCAGACTCGAAGGCATTCATGTAATTGGGTGAATCACAGAGTCTCAGGAATCTTCTGGACTAGTAAGTTATACATGTACATGTATATATAAAATATTAAAATGTCTTTACTCTGTCTGAATTGCATACTTCAGGCTGGAATCTGAAAATAAAAATTGTAGTTTCCATATGTATATAATTTATACTACATGTATCTTGGTACATGTAGAATTGAAATTCATTCTTTAATTTCACTTCAATTACTTAACCATAAATTTTCATTCTCAAGAATTTTAATAACATTTAAGATGTGTTTTATTATCTATTTCAGACCAAAAGTGATGGCTGAAACAAATATTAACTGGTAGTCTACTTACTGATCTGGACACTGGATAAGGCAGAAACCATTTTCAACAGAACTGTTAAGAGTGTAAATAAAAAAAAAAGATACCCACTCTCCATCTCATTCATAGCTTCATTCTTGGCTTCATTGTGTTGAATATGAGTCAAGACTTTTCTATTGCACCAAGGCTGAAGGGACTTTCAAACCATAAACAACATCACCACAGAGCAGTTGACTTTCATTTCTTCTTCTGAATTTGTATGTTATACCCTTAATTATTACAGTGTGAATTTACTTTGCACAGAAGAAGATGTAAATTAGCATAACTTCAACAAGTATTTACTTTGTCAGTTTTAGACACATAACTCAATTATTTCGTATTTTAAAAAAAAGTAATTGGCAGCATTTACTGTGGAATCATCATTGTTCTTGGGGGAGGATAGGTGGGTCAAACATATCCACTAATTTATATTCCCACAAATACTTATTTTTTCAACTTGTCAATTCATTGAATCTTTTAAAGTTAACCTTATGAATTATGTCTGCACAAACCAGTTGAATTAAATGCCTGCCCACTAACAGCTGATTAATCCCCCCCACCCCACCCCAATAAAATGATTCCACAGTTTTTCAATTTTCAAAAACTATAGAAGGCCATATACATGTATCTGCAGGTACTTTGGGTGGTTTAATCATCTTTGCTTGTGCTGGTCTGTCTGATGTCTTCATCAGCTAGCTATTCTGTATCCTACAATTAAATTCTTGTTTCCAAATAAAACAGCTGTAAAATGCTTTGTATTATTTATGCTTATTTAATTTTGTCTATAGTTTTTAAATATTTTTTTTTCTTAATGTTTGGAAAAAATAATATGAGAGGGATTCGACAAGAATTTATATTTCCTGCAAATATACATTTTTTTTAAAAAAAGTGTGTGTTATATATCAGGGACCTATATACTTTAATAGTTAGTAGAGATCCCTGGTTATATTTTAAAAGTTCATATTCATGCAAAATCTACAGACATAATAAAAAAAAATATAAAATGTATTCCATGAGTACATGTTTGAGTGTGTCCTTGATCTTTGGTATTCTGGCATTTATTAATGGAAAGACTTGATATAAAATGTTTAAAATCTCAGGGCCCGGATTTACCTAATGCCGATACAGGAAGTTTTCGAAGGGCAAGGTCAAAATCCTTTGGTGACGTAGTTTGATGCAGACTACAAGTCTTGTTTTGCACAAAGATTCAAAAAGTATTAACAAAGGTGGATATATGGTGTGATAAGTGTTATAAGTATATAAATCCAGGAAGTGCACTTACGGGACATGTATAGAAGTGACAAGATGTTTAATCGTGTTTACATTGAACTATATATGTGTTTGGGATTTACTCAATGCAAGGTAAAGTTGTAGATTTTGTTTACATTTACACTCTATAGAACGTATTCGCTTACATGTTTTGGCAAAGCAGTCATGGCACTCTTCCTTGGTTGATATTTTGCAGCCTCGAATGTTTTTAACATTCAAACTAACGAATCCTTGAGTATATGAATTCAAATGGATCGCAGTGTTTAGCTCTTTTAAACTTCTTCTGTCAATTGATATGCAATGTATGCTTAAAACTCCGTATTTTATCACTAATTTTAAAATACACGTGTATTAGGTGCTTGGTAAGTCTTTGGCGGTATGCTTTTCCGGACGTCCGTAAGTGCAGAGAATTTCCGAAAGTGTGTTACGTCATTACGTCAATGACGGTAAAGTACGGAAATCCACGAATAATGATGTATCCCCTTCCGAAGTGACGGCCATTTTGGCAATGTTAAATCCCCGTAGACTTTGAATTTGCCGCCGTGTCAATACACCGGTTGAACTCGAGGGTTCGGATAAATGGAGGAAAATTGAAAAAAAAAATGATCTATCGATCGGACCTAGGTTGAAGGCCAAGGTATTTATATATTTTGAGATATGTTGCAAAAAGTGGTGACAATAGCTTGGTGGGACAGACTATAAACCTTCACAATTTAATTAAATATTAGATGTTTTGCATGAAAAATGTACTCAATATTGAAATAAGGATCTCTTTTGCGAAGATCTGTTCAACATGTAACGATGTACATGTATTTGTTAACTAAAATTCAGTAATTTATTTAAAAATGAACTTTACGTACAAAAATAGCGAATGTGTATTTACTTTGGGGATTGGGGGGGGGGGGGGCTAAAATATTTGTCAAGTAGAAAAAAGGCAAAACAAAAAACAAAAAAAAAAAAACAGATAAATAAATAAATAAAAATAAATAAATAAAAAATAAATAAATAAAAATCTGTTTTACAGAACTCAAATTCTCAAACTGTATTCATTGCCTCTAATATTACTGACTAAGTATTTTTACTATAAGTTTTGAATTTTCATTATTCATTTTTTGTATATGACAACTCATTGAAACACACTTTTATACAAATTGTCACTTAAAAATTCTTATTGATTAGATTACAAACTTTAAGATATCTTTATTGCCGTTTTACGTCACTTATTTGATTTTGAATAAAATCTTTAAATTTCAATTCATTAAATTATTTTACTCGAATTTTGTTTCAGGAACTTGATAATCTCTTCAGCGAGCATTTTGGCCTTCATACAGATGATAGTAGCAGAGAGCTACAGGACAACAAATGTACAGAAAGTTCTGACGATGAAGAAGATATTGATGTCGACCAAGTTGTCAGCCTCAAAGTCTCGCAATTTCTACAAGATCACAACGATGACGATACACATGTACCAGAACAAGAAAATACCGAGGAAGCAATTGTAGGCACAGAAGAAGATTCAGAAAAATTGAAATGTAACTGCTCGAATAACTGTTTAGAAAACTTCAATGCAACAAAAATCAGGGACCATATCTATAGAGTGCGTGAAATGACAAAAGACGAGAAAGAAATGTTTATAATGGGATCTATCAAACAAATTGGAAATAAGAAAATCACATCAAAACGCAAAGAACGTAAAAGGTTAAGTTATGAGTATACATTTCAAGGACAAGCTTAAGGTATCTGCAGAAAAGCATTTATGATCATCAATGACACATCTGAAAAAAAGTAGCTAAAAATATCAACAGGCATTTAAATGACAACGGAGCAGTTCCACGAGAACATGGAAATACTGGCAAAAAACCCATTCATGCCCTGAAATATGAGGATGTTCGAAATGCCATTACTTTTATTATTAATTATGCTACAGAAGTAGGAATGCCCCAACCTGAGGCTCCAAGAGGAAGCGACGGAATCCCCCCTATCTTTTTACCATCCTCAGATACAAAGAAAGGTATTCACGAGCGTTACCTAGCCTCTTGTGAGGGTACAGATGTTCGCGCTCTGAAATTATCATCTTTTGCAGAAGCATGGCAAAAACGTATTCCAAACATTAAGATTAGCAGGCCTCGAGATGGCGTTTGCCAAAGATGTGAGTGCCCCAGAAAAGAGATTCTTGATGCTATTACTGAGGAAGAAAAGCTGGCCTCCACTGCAAAGTTTAAGAAACATTTAGAAGATGCACAGACAGAAAGAAGTCACTACAGAACCTGTGTGGAAAAGTCAATAAAAGAAATGTCAAGCTGGGAGGGCGCTGAGCTGACCAATGTGCACTATACGTTCGACTTTGCACAGCATTTTCAGTTACCCCACCACTCCCGTCAAATGGGACCCACTTACTTTATACAGCTGCGCAAAGTTCAGGTATTTGGAGTACGGATAGACGTGTGTCCAGACAAATGAATTATGTGATTGATGAAGATCAAACTATAGGTAGGTTTCCACAGTACAATTCTCTCTCTCTCTCTCTCTCTCTCATATATATATATATATATATATATATATATATATATATATATATATATATATATATATATATATATATATATATATATATGAAAAGCTATTAGGACTTTTTAATATTTATATCCATAATTAAATTTTATTTCAAGGACAAGATGGAACATTGTTGGACCAGATGCTGTCATAAGCATGCTGGACCATGCACTCACAGCATACAGATTTGGAGAAAGAAAATGCTTTCTTCATGCGGACAATTGTTCGGGTGTGTTATCATTACAATATCAATTTAAACGTTTTGATTTAGTTGTACATGTGTTGTGTTACTCTTGAAAAAAAAAATCTGATTTTTTCCACAATAGGTCAGAATAAAAACCAATACGTCCTGGCGTATTTATGTTGGCGTGTGATGACTGGTCGTCACGAGGAAATCGAATACTCGATGCAAATTCCCGGACACACAAGGTATACAATATCTTTTTGTTGTTGTCACCCTTAAAGTAAAAAAAAAAGAAGATGTTATTTAGATGTCATAAATACAAATATTGAATGTTTTCCTGTTTTCTTTAGGTGTCTTGTAGATAGTGGTTTTGCCCACATTCGCAAGCTGTTCCGACGTTCAGATATCGATTCTTTGGGTCAATTTCAAACTTTAGTAAACAAGTCTGCAGTAACCAACGAAGCAGTTCCATTTCAAAGTGGAGAAACTGGAAAGTATTTTCATCCACCTATTTCCGTGCTGTTAGAGGCATAAGACAGTACCATCACTTTAAATTTAGGGCAGAAAATCCCTGGACTGTGTCTGTAAAGGAGCGTGTTGACAACGAGGAAAGGCAAATATACATAAAGAAGAGAGGAGGGCCTTTGTTCGATGCCACAGCACTTCCAGAGCAGATTGTCCCCCCTGGTCTCTCAAAGGAAAGACAGCAGTATTTATATAGGACCGTGCGCCCATTTGTCCGACCAGCATATCAGGAGGAATTGTGTCCCACTCCAGCAGAGGAGTGGATAAGTCCACGATAGAAACACAATCACACAATGAATTTTTGTAATTGATTTTTAGGTCATGAATTAGTCTTGGTATATTTAGTTCGTTTCAGTCATATTTTCAATAGATTAAGATGCCCATAGTGTTAGTATTTTCAGGGCATAAATTACAAATATAATTGTAAATTATTGTAGTTTCACTGTAATATCTGTACTA